ACCGACTGAACTAACCCTGACATGCTGTGCTCTGACCAATCTCTCAAAACTCGAGCTCGAGAAACTCAAGAACAAAGGTCTTCAAGCTTTTGTGCGATCGGTGCAAAAACGCTCCTCAGCCTTAAGGCGCCAACCTCCAACTGATGTCAAGAAGGACGCGCTCCACTTCGGACCTGAGCGGGGGCTACCGGGAATCGGAGGGAAACTTACCTAGGCTTCGGCTTCTTTCTACCGGCAGGCGCTCAAGCAGATCCTGTGCAGGGGCTAACTCAGGGCGGCCTAGGGTACCCACGGGCTAGGGGTTAAATCCTAAAAAAACCAGAGTGCGGCCCACAAGCCCTCCAAAGTGCGAGGTCGTGCAAAACTCAGAGCCTGCGGCGATGGCCGTGAAGATGGCTTCCAGGACCTGGGCGGGCTAGGAGTGGGCAAAGGTTCAGCAGTACTAAGATGTACTAAGATGTACGAAGCAATATTGAGCAAAGCAGAAGCGTCATCGCCGCAAAACATGTTTTGCTCGACATTGCACTTTGTGCAGTTGTTGCCGCCGTCTGTACCGGGGGCACGACCCTGCGGATCTCTGTCCCTTCGCTCCCCTAGATCCTCCCACAAAAGGCTCTACAGCCTACTTCGTAGGCAAGAACATGCCTAGCAAACTGCGAGTAGCTTCAGCTTCAGGCTTCGGCTCAGCGTTCTCGACCTTTTCAGTCTCGGCGTCCTTGTCAACGCCCGACGCCTTCTTCACTTTCAAAGCCTTAGCCTCCTCTGCAGCGGCGGTTCTTTGAGCCTTCAACTCGGCCTTCACGGCAGCTAGCCTAGCTTTGGTCTCGTCCATCTTCGCTTTCTGCGCTTTGCGCTGCTCGGCTTGTTCTTCTTTATCTTTCTTGCGCTTCGCAGCCTCTTCGGCCTTGCGCTTTTTCTTGATGGACTTGTCAGGAGCGCCCTCAGAGGTTGACTCAGCGAGCTTCTCAGCAGGCTTAGTGCGCTTCAAGACGCACTTGGAAACCTCCTCCTTCACGGTCTTCCGAATTTCTTCTATCACTCGATCAGCTTGGGCAGTGACATGCGAACAGGTTGCCTCCTCCGAGCTTTTGACGTAGCTCCGAAGCTCGCGCCCCTCGGACATCGCCTTCTGCACGCGCGCTAGTCGCCTAGCCTCCAACTTGTTCTTGTACCACTGGGGTTTTGACTTGGGTTCAGCACCTTCCTGAGCCTGGGGAATCTCGTCTGAGCACTTGCCCTCCACGCGGGCAGCATCCATCGAGATAGATTCCTCCGCTAGGACAGACTCAGCGCTACTGGACTCTTGCGCCGCGTCAAAAGCCTCTGCAGCACGTTGCTCGGCCATAGCAACAGACCTACGTGTGCAAAAAGCACTCCTTCCAAAGCGAACCAGCAGCTCGGGCAAAAGCGCTTCAATCGCTACTGCTCATGCTGCCCTACCGGAACATATAGAAGCATCACTGCAGACCGCATTAAGACTCCCCGCGTTGCAAGCAACTTCCTACCATCAGATGCTAGCAGCGCTACTACAGCACGCCTACAACAGACGACCAAAACTGCCAGTCCTACGCCGCCCGAACCAAGCACTCTAGAGAGCCAGGCAGTCGAAGAACTCGTCGATGAGAAGGATGATACCTGAGCACGGTGGCGAGGGGCCCGGGGTTCCGGGAAGAAGGGTTAGGCTTAGGCTTCGGCTTCTACCTACCTAACAGTCCTAACAGCACTCAAACGCCCTGCGAAAAAACAAAAAAACCTCGCAGCCTCGGAGCCCCGCCGCCTGAAACCGAACAGACCCTGAACAACCCTGAAGCCTGAACCCAGAGCCCCCAGCACGAAGAAGAGGTCGGTCGAAGCACACCTGTCCGCAGAGCGAGGGGCCCGGGGTTTCCGGGAGCAGGAGGGTTACCTAGGCTTAGGCTTCTACGTGCTTGACAGACCGCTCCTAACAGCACTTCAAACGCTCTGCGCTCCACAAAAACCTGACTGCCTCGGAGCCCCAACCGCCTGCAACAAGCCCTGAAACCTTGCAGCCCTTCCAGAACCTAGCTGCCTCAGAGCCCCAACCGCCTGCAACCATAAAAACCCTGAAGCCTCCTAGGTACCCTAAGCTCGCCAACACTCTGAGGGATCCCTGCCGCGCGAGAAGACCGCCTGAGTAAAGAGAGGTCTTATAGGTTTGGGCTTAGGCTTGGGGCTTAGTTTTCCTACCTGCAGGTGCGATCGCTCCTGCAGATGCAACTCCTACCTACAGACGCAAGCACTCCTGCAGATGCTATCATTCCTACCTATCCCCCGCCTATCCTACATGCTCTACGCACAAAGGTCTACGCTAACATACGCCGTGGCTTTCGCTCTGAGTCCAAAGCCACGCGGTGAAAGTCGATGAAGAAGACGTGAACCTGGGCAGACATGTAAGGTTTAGCTACTAAGGGAAGGCGAGACTAGTAAAATTATAGCTCATACCGACCTACTGGTGCAAAACTCACAGGCTGGAGCATGACAGCAACAATTCCAGATGACTCGCAAACGCTCTTAGTTCCCCACCTTCCGCACCACAACGCCGTCTATCTACCGTAGCACTACTTTGGTAGTCTAGCGTCTGTGACGCTGCTCGAGTTATTGTTTACCCCAATGTCTACAACTAACCGACAACAATGCTTGAAGCTTCACAGAAAGGTTGGAAAACGGCTCAAAGCAACATTTTGATTCCAAGCATGCAAAATCAAAATCAAAAAAACAAGCAACACATCACTCCTAAGCTCTAGCGGCAGATTCACGACCTTCTTTTCTCACACATAACGCGCTGCTCTATCGCAGCTTCCTAACTGAGCCTTAAATTAGCTCGATCAAAAGTGCTGTCCATGCTGTCTATAAAATTAGGAAGCACGAGATCGCTTGGAGCGACTTCCTTCGGAGCTGTTCTTCTCAGTTTGCTCCAGATCCGTAGTTTCCCTCTCCGCCAGCCAAGCGCGCAGATGGTCCTTTGCACAATCCCAAACGTCTTCCTCGTCCTCGGCGCCCCCCTGACGCTTGTTGATGCGAGCGCCAAGCCGGCGCAACAGCTTCAAAAGGTAGGTCTTCTCAGCCGGGGTGAGGAGCTCATCTGAAGCTGGCGTAGCGCCCTCAGCACGGTCGCACATGTCCGTTGAGCGACTAACACCCTTTGGCGCCGAGCGAGAGTTGCGCTTGAGATTTACAGAAGCGCGCGGATGTTTTGCAAACAAACCCAAGAAAATTGTGCAAAACTAAGGAAATCAAACGCCGAACTCAAGCACTAATTGCCAAAGCTGCAAGACCCTGCAAAAAAAACGCTACTTGTAAAATCATGCTCAAACAAGAAATCACAAGTTGCTCAATAACGTGAAAATAGCGCAATTATTACTTTGTTTTTTTTGTTTTTTTCTCGCAAAGGCAACGACTTGACCCACAATTGGCCCACAATTGGGGGTGGGAACCCCTGGCAAGTGCCCGCGGCGGGGCCGCGGCGGCTAAATTAGCTTCCAAGCGGGCTCCCAGGCAAGCGCCCCGCGGCTAGTCCTCCTCGCGGCGCCGCCGCTTGGGGGAAGGCTCGTCCATGATTTGCATGAGGCGGGCCGCGTGCTCCAGCTCAACCTTTTGCATCTGGAGCAGGGATGTCGCCAGAGTCCGAACGTCCGGAGAATGCCCAGCTTCGTAAATCTCCCGGGCCATCTCGGCGGCGCGAAGCAGGCCCTGCGCCCGCACGCGCGATCTCAATGCTCAGGTCCTTCTTGAAAGCCTCCATGGCCGGACGGCGAGCTCGGACGGTTCTGCTAGCAAGCCTCCGGGGCCTTTCTTTATGGGGCACGCCTGCCGAAGCCCGGGCCGATGACCTACGGCGAGGTCCGGTGCCGAGGCGGGCGGTCCAGCGAAGCTGAGGGGGGGCGGTTATCAGTAACGCCCGGCCCCCGCATAACGCTTCGCGCAGGGCTGGGGCCCTGCAAACCGTCCAGCAAATGGGGCGGCTCCAAAACCCCAAAAACCCCTTCTCTGAAAACGAAACTATGGAATTTTTTTGCCAGCTTTTTGCTGGGGCTCCAAAATGCGATCTCGGCCGCTCCTGGCCTTTTTAGCCATCCTAGAGGCCATCCTAGAGGGATTCTCCAGGATTGATACCCCATCCTAGGGCAGGCTCCAGGATGCAAAAAAAAAATGCCCCTGGGGCTAGGGGGGCGACAAAATTGGGGACTACTCCAAACGAATTCCGGGGGCCAAAATTGCTGCTCAAACGAATTCAAGGGCCTCCAATCAGGCTGTCAAAGCGGCTCCCTGCTGTGCTTTTTGTTTGCTGAGGGCCTCCGATAAGGCTGTCGCAAGGCTTTCCTGCAGCCTCTCAGCCAGCTTTGGGGAGGCGGGCCCGCGAGGGCCACCGCGACTCACCCCTTTCTTATAGGGGGCAGGCATCTTCGGCCTGCTCCTCCAACTTGACGTCCCGGAGCTCCAGAACCAGCCCGCACTGCTGGTTCATCACCCAGAGCTGCCGCGGCTGTACCGCCACCAGGACCTTTCGCCCTCGCAGGCCGGCGGGCGCCTCGGCCCGCTTGCCCTCCGAGTCCCAGAAGCGCACGTTCCGCATAGTGGCCTTGAGCTTGCAGAATTTTAGGCCTTGCGCGGAGGTCTTCAGGCACGACTGCAAGCGCTCCTGCATCTGGGCCTGGCTCAGGGGCTTGCCGAACATGGACGCGGCGTGCTTGGTCGCCAGCCCCACCGCGGCAGTTTCCCATCTCGAAACCGCCTCCGCGAGCTCCTCCGTGGCCTCCAGGCAGACGTTGACCCTATCCCCCTCGGCGGCGTAAGCCGAAGGCTCCCACACCACGGCGGCCCACTGCGTGGAGTGAAACGTGGGGTTGTTGCAGCCGTCCTTGCCCTTGATCGGCAGATACTTGCCGCCCTTGGCGTTGCTTTGCACCTCGCCCAAGACGAGCTCCATTGCTGGGTCCTTTTATTTATACGGGCGCCAACAAAAAAAAGCTGGTCCGACCAAACCATGACCCACTCGCCCGCGGCCCTGCGGCGGAGCCACGCCCAACTCTTCGACGCAGACACGCCGCCCCCTCGGCCGCTGAGCTGGCGGGAGGTGGCCCTCTGCAACCTCGAGCTGGCCTGCTGCTGCGCCGCCTTGGTCGCGGTCGTGTGGCTGGCCTGCCAGCCCGACATGGAAAACGATGCGCCGATTGCTGGAGCTGTTCTCGGGGACTGGCTCGATGGGCCGAGCCTTCGCGGAACTGGGGTGGGAAGTCACCTCGCTTGACGTCGACCCCAAAGCCGACCCGACCATCTGCGCCGACATCTGCTCGTGGGAGCCGTTCCCGAAGTTCGCGCGGCCACTTTGACATGATCTGGGCTTCCCCCGTTTGCACCGAATACAGCAGGGTCTTGACTCGCCGGCCCCGGCGGCTGGAAGAGGGCGACCGCCTGGTGCAGCGGACTCTGCAGATCATCCAAGAGCTCCGGCCTCGCTTCTGGGCTTTGGAGAATCCTGCCACGGGGCTCCTGAAGCTCCGCCCCTTCATGGCGGGGCTGCCCTGGCAGGACGTCAGCTATTGCACTTACGGCTACCCTTACCGCAAGCTCACCAGGATATGGTCCAACTTGGACTGGACGCCCGAGCGGCCGGTCTGCGGCGTCGGCGGCTACCGTTGCGAGCAGTCCAGAGAACAGGGTCGCCACCCTGAGGTGGCGCAGAGGGGCACCTTCCGCCGCAAGGGCCAAGTAGTGCAGAACTGCCACACCCAGGGCCAGCTGTACAGCATCCCGCCGGCCTTGTGCCGGGAGATCGCCTCCGCCGTCAACGCGAGGGCCGTGACTTCGCCTTAGCCTTCTTGGGCTTTTCCAACGCCTCCACCCTGGCCTGCAGACGTTTGCAGACGCCCCACAGCACGGCGGTGAGCTTGCCGTAGTCCAAAGTGAGGAGCTCCTCCCCGCCCCACATCGTTTTCCCCGTGACGCCTCCATGTTGCAGGTCCTGGGCCAAGAAGCCCAGCCGGTCCTTTTGGTCGGTGTCGGCCCGGTCATAGCGCTTGGGCGCGGCCCTGTCGAAGATGGCCTGGAGCTCCTCCAAATCTGCGTCTCTGACGTTCCGCTTGACCTTCTCGTCTGAGAGGTCGTTCTGCCCGTAAGCCGTGGTCACCACCCCGTTGGTCTCCACGATCAACGGCGCCTGGCCGGTGAGCCTGTTCTGGAGCCAGATCTCCTGCCCCGGCGCGTTCAGGGTGCAGTTGCCGGTGGGAGCCACCTCCAGCTGCGCGAAGCCCGCGGCCGTGTTGGCATCAAGCTGCAATCGGGCGACGCCCGTGGTGGCCGTGTTCTTGATCACCAGCCCGGTCGTGGAGGCGGCGGCCGAGTTGGTGACGCTGAGCA